AACAAATAGTACAATCAGTCCCAGCTAAATCCTGACAACTATCATTAACCACCGTGGACCTCCCATTCTCTGTCTCCCAGTAAACCCTCATTGCTAGTTCTGTGTGTCCCACCCAATTCAGAGGGCATGGCAGCTGCCCAGCCCAGTCCACATGTACTCTCTAGCTGGCAAGTCCCCTCCACATCCCATAGATTGGGATCTCGTTGGAGATGGGACTACAGCATCAGTTAGTGCAGAGTTGAGCAGCCCCTAGTGGAACTCAGAATAAATTCATGCAACGGTTAAGCACCTTGTGCTGTACCCCCAGCACATATGAGAACATAGAAAAGAATGAAAACAGACTAGGTCCCTGCTTCATGGAGCTGGGGTACACAGGAAATGAACAAATAAACAAATATTTACATAAGAAAAAAAGAAAAATACTTAAATATATACAAACAAATGCAGTCACAAGTACCCATACAAAAGACCAAACCATTACCCTTAATTCATTTCCTATGCATGAGGACCCCATGTGTTATAGAGTTTTCTTGGCAATAATCTTTATGAAAGCAGATCACCAGACCTTTCTTCTGCAGCACCAACTGGGAGGATTCAAGCCATCAAATTTTAGTATTCAAGCACAAACCATTTTTACCACTCTGGGACCTTAGCTGATACACCTACACACATGAATCCAGTCAGTGCTGACACACGACAACACCAGGTATTACAAAGGAGAATTCTTCCATAAGGTTTTCTTGGCTTTTAGAAGAGGGTGAGGACAGCCACCAACCTTTAGGTTCGTGCTGTTGTTTTGAAGTGTCATCAAGTTGGTTATGACTCATAATGACACTGTATATGGTTTTCTAGGATTGGCTGGTGAGTTTGAATCACTAACTTGGCAGTTAGCAGGCCAGTTTTGATCCTACAGTGCCACACCAGGGCTCCAGCTACAGGCGCAGAGGTTAGAAATTTCAACTTGTATTTTGAGGGATGTAATTCGGTCCATAACATTACATCCTTTACCTGCCAAAATTCACGTCCCTGCCACATGCAAAACACATTCACTCCATCCCATCATCCCAAAAGACATCAATTAAGTCCACATTCTCATCTTCTGGATCATCTAAATCAAATATGTGTGGGAGTTTAGGTGTATTCCATCCTGGGACAACATTCCTCTTCATCTGGGAGTCTGTGGAATCTAAAATACAATATCTGTATCTTCATATGCATGTGAAAGCTGGACAGTGAATAAGGAAGACCGTAGAAGAATTGATGCTTTTGAGTTACGGTGTTGGAGGAGAATATTGAAAGTGCCATGGGCTGCCAAAAGAACCAACAGATCTGTGTTGGAAGAAGTGCAGCCAGAGTGCT